TTATGGGTATTTGTCCATATTGTGTAGGGTGTGAATGGGATAGCTTGTAAGATAGTCTGGAAGAAGTGGCCTTGCCTATATCAATTACATGCGATAAATACAGTAGATACCCTATCTAACGAAACGTCAACCGAAATTCTGAAATGTGTTTTCGATTGGAAGAACTTACTTAAGTGGGGTTGTAATATTGATTAATATGCAGCATAATCCCAAAAAATATTTCAGTCACGTCAGATTACCGGCTTTTGAATGAGGGTCCTTCGGACCGCCTATGAGAACTTTATTCCGTTAACAAGTATCTACTCAGGTAGAGTGCATTTTGCTAATTGATTTTCACTGCCCTCATAAATTCAAATGTATTTTTATAAAAAAAAACATGCGCAAAATGTTTTTCTTTTACTCATTTGGTAGCACTGGCATGTTATTTCCAACAGCATTATCCTAGTGCTCATAGTCCAAACTTAGCAGCAAATGACAGTTTTTGGTGGATAGAGGGGAGAAAGCGGAAATCAGTGCAAGCCCTGGTGTGCTTCGGGCCTCAAGCAAGTGTCTACTCGCAATGGCTCAAACTCCTCGTTGTGATCGAGGGGGCATGAGCCCTAGCGCTGACTTGAATCAGCATCACTTCCGGCTGATGTTAATGTCAGTAATACTGTCAGTACTATCATTGTTCAGTTACATCGCTAGTTTAGTAGCAGCCCCGGTCTTCATGTATCTGTCTTGACAGCGGCCGAAATTTAGTGAGGCTGGATAGTAGACTTCGTGCGGGTACTACCGTACTGTCACTTAAGACTAAATCACGCGGTGTTTTGGTCTGCATTGGAGAAAGCGGCCAACGCTGGATCCCATTCTGGTCTTCTTGATCCTAGGTGAGGGTGCTAAGCGCGGTGACGCCTGCGACGTCTACTATCCCTTAAATCTCAACCGTCTTCAGTCACCCTCCCTGCTCCCACCTGTTTGCGGCATATGGTGGACTTCATCGAAACCGATGGTAGAAAAATTGATATTGATTACAATGCAGCAAAATCCCGAAATATTACAGTCACACCAGGTTATCGGCTTTTGAACGAACATCTTTCTGACCACCCGCAAAAAGTTTATTCCGTAAACAAGAAGCCGCTTAAGTAGTATCAATGTTGTAATGGATTTTCACTGCCCTCATAAGTTCAAATGTATTTCATAAAAAACCTACGCAAAATATTCTTTATTTTACTGGTTTGGTAGCAACTTATGTCACAGGATATTTTTCGATTTTTAAATATTTCTAAATTGCCGAGCAATTTTGAGCACTATCCACTGTTGCGATCGGATTTAAGGTCTTCAAACTACATGCTGTACTCATTTCGTCGAAGGAAAAATACATATCTCCTTACGATGCGAAGAAGCGACATAACTCTTGTAAAATTTTGCGATGGATGTGGACCAAGCTGCATAATTGATAAACAGCATTAACAAATGGACAGACACATTGCTTTATGAGTGCACATTTCAATATCTTAGAATGCATATTGAGAAACTAGTTCGAAACCGAAAGATAACCTTTCTCCAAGTATAAAATTGGAGGCGTTATTTTCTACCAAACAAGTGCATGGAAGAAAAAATATATTCGTGTATTTTTCGACAGAATATATTTGAATTTATAAGAGCAGTGGAAGTCAATTAGAAAAATGCATACAGCTTTTGTTTTACACCAAATACTTTTTGCAGGCGCTCAGAAAGAAGTCGGCATCCTACCGAGACCGAAATATATTGAGATTAGGCTGTACGAGCATCACTATTAAAACCATACTTCAGTAATACCTTCGAATGGATAACACGGTTCAGAATTTTGGTTGATATTTCATGAGATAAAAATTTACTGTACGGTTCAGAAAATAAGGTTTTCCAAAACGTACAGTTGACAATGGCCCAACAGCCCGCAAAAAATTAACCCAAAGCTACTGTACAACTGCACATTTGATGAAAGCACAAAAGTACAAGTCATTCTTCGTAAACAGCGAAGGTCACGTGATTGTCATAAAAGGAGCAAGTTGCAACTAAGGCACGGAATTTGGGACAATTGGAAGATCCGGACTGTTCGGAGAGAATAAACCAATCGGCGCCATAGGCCAGCTCTGAGGTCTGACGATAGTAGGAGACAAACGGGGTTGCCTGTCTGTCATGTGAGAAATCCAGATCTTTGGGCTCCCAGGCGCCGACAGCGAAACCAGCATGCATGGCAGCCAGGAGGAAGTGTGAGGCGGAAGGACTGTTCCATTTGTGCCGCCAGACACCACCACCCGTAGTATGAACGACCTCCTTGACTAAGGGAGATTTGGGCGCACGCAAGTCCCAAAGCCGTAGCCGCTCATCAAAACTGCATGATGAAAAACACAAAAAATAAAGTAGAGGGGAATCTGTTTTGATATATAACCCTGAAATAAGCTATATCAGGCCCATTACGCGTACAATGTTCAGTATGGCGAGTGGTGCAAGCAAGATACCCCAATTTGTAATTTGGTACTCACTCAAAAACCAACATTAAGTAGCGTTACAATACTGATTATCGTGCAGCCTAATCCTAAGTCTTTTCAGTTACGTCAGGATGTCGGCTCTGTAATGAACTTCTGTCTGACCGCCTACAAAAAGTAGATTCTTTAAAAATGGCTATCTGTATAAATTCAAATACATCTTATGGAAGATATGCACGAAAATACAAAAACAGCTCTATCCTTAAAACCCACGGGTTTCTATATTCCTCAACTATTTGGATTACCAAAAACTCATAGCAAGGATATCCCCTTACGACCTATTCTTTCCATGTCCAATTCACCATTTCACAGACTAACGCAGTGGCTAGTAAAGGAACTAGAACCAATCCGCAATAGATTCTTTACATATATACTGAGAGACAGTTTTCACTTTGTCGACGAAATAAGGCATCAAAATATTGCCGGCAAATATATGATATCCTTGGACGTTGAGTCATTATTTACTAACGCGCCTCTGGATGAAACAATTGACATCATTTGTGCATATGCTTCCGAAACTCGCCTGAAATATTACGGGACTTATTACACTTATGTACAAAGAATGTCCAATTCCTATTTAATAGCCAACTATATAGACAAGTTGACGGATACACAATGGGTAGTCCTCTTGGTCGTACCTTTGCAGACATATTTATGGGACATCTTGAAGAAAAAGTATCCTGAACATTGAAAAAGACACGACTCTATAGAAGATATGCAGATGATATCTTTGCGATTGTTGAAAACATAAAAGAAGCCGAAGAACTGCTGTTTACAATGAACAGTTTGCATCCGAAAATGAAATTTACGATGAAAGTAGAACATGGGAATTAGCTTTCTTTCCTAGACGTTCACATGTCCAGACAGAAAAACGGTTCCATAACACGCAGAGTTTTCCATAAGAATACATGGAAAGGGCAGCATTCGCATTATCTAAGTTTTAGTCCCATACAATGGAAAAGTGACTTAGTTTTCACCCTCTTCTAGAGGACAAGCAAAATCTGCTCAATGGATACACTGCATACAGAAATTGCCAGCCTCAAGGAAACGCTACTCAAGCGTGGTTACCCATCTCAGTTTATTGACAAGTATAACAAACCCATACGGCAAAAGGTTATGGAACAGTCAGTTCCAAAAAAGCCTGTTTTCATATCTTTGCCCTTTAAGGGTGAAAAAACCTTAAACACAAACAAGAGACGCTTATATAACACCATTGAAAGGACCTACTTTGCTGTTGACCTAATATTTTGTAACTCTACAAAGAACCCTCCGATTCCAATTGCGAAGGATGCCTTGCCATTGTACACCACTTCAAACTGTGTTTACGAATTTACATGCACTTGCGGATGCAAGTACGTAGGGCGAACACAAAGCCAATTGGCAGCCAGAGCTAAGGAGCACTTGCCGAGTTGGCTATTAAAACAGGAGAATAGAACTCTAAGTTCTTCCATTACTGAACACCTATTGGATACGGGCCATGCTGAAGACCCCAAAACATCCTTCCGAGCACTTGTTCGGGCACGAACAACTCGTACCTTACGCTACCTGGAGGCAGCCTATATAAGGCGGTTTAAACCTGACCTATGTAAACAACTGGAGCCGTGGTAACACCGATTCCCTGTTTACAAATTTCTCTTCCCAACCTTTTTACTTTAGACGTTTTTATCCCGTCTTTGCTGCCCACAGCGGTTCACTTTCTTTCATTATTGAGTGCCTCTTGGCCATTTCTTGTGACCTTGCTGTTTGTATCGATTTTTCTGTATGAATTGAATTTTGTATTTCCTCAATTGTTACTTACTTTCTGCAGCGAGAGGATGCAGCTGATGAGCACTCGCGAAATGTATGGGTCCAATAAATCCTGCTGTATATGCAATGTTCAAATTTGAACCTGGAAAAAGATGCTTCAAAATTTTCTTGTACACCTTTGGTTGAAAATTACGCCTTCTTTAATTTTATACTTCAAAAGGGCATCTTTCGGCTTTAGAAAAAATGCTAATTATGAGATTTTTTACGACTGTGAGATGTTCATCCATAATTCATGGTGTCCATCAATTTATTAATGTTGCCTATAATGTATACAGCATAATCCACGTCTATTGCAAGATTTTATGAGAACTATGCGACCGCTTCCTCAAACTGAAGGCAAAAAATGTTTCTTTTATAAACAGAATGTACACAGCATGCTGTTTTGAAACCTTGAATTTAGGTGTAGCAGTCGGTAAATGTCCAAATTATTCGGCAATGTATAAACTTTTTAAAAACCGAAAGATACCTTTTCTTTAAGTATAAAATTTCAAGAAGGTGTAATTTGCTACTAAACGAGTACAAGAAAGAATATTTTCGTGCATGTTTTCAATGATAAATATGCATACTATTTCAGTAGCAATTCTTTTCATAATCTGCATTTTATAAGCGATCAGAAAGAAGCTAAATAAAAAGACGGCATCTTGGCGTGATTTAAAAGACTTGCGATTAGACTGCACGATAATCAGTATTGAGAGCGATTATCAGTCTTTTGCAAATTGCGACATTTTGCCTGCAGCACTCACCGTACTGTATGTAGTGGTCAGTTATTACTGAACAGTAAGCAGTTTGCTTTGCAGCATCGGACCGCTACAGATGCACGGAACAAAACTGTTGTTTTTCACAAAAAAGTAAAATCTCTCAGTGTGCAGAAAATGCTGCTACAGAAAAGTATGCGACAGCCAAAACGCCTAAAAGATCAAGACTTGATGGGCGATCTAGCTTCGCTATTATGTTCCTAACGGAGTGTGAGTACACACATACACAGCAAAAACGGCTACAGGAGTACACGAATAGCCAAAATCGCACTGGAAGTTGGAACAGGTTTAAATTATCTAACAGAAAAAAGTGTAATCAAAAATAGCCCATAGACGATTTAGTTTATTCAGGTGGATAAGCTCCTTAACAATTAGGAATTAGCTATTCCTCTGTTGTCGCATGCCTAATTTTAATTTTAATTACAATGCAAATTAACATGGTGCATGACCCGAAGCTCATGCACACAGTGAGGCAAGCGAATTTCGCAGTGAGAGGCCGTCAAGACATTTGTCCAACCAAATCTAGGTGCTCGTTATATTGTGCCTTGAAGTTCAATCCAGCCTCCTCAGCTAACCGCATTGCGACTGGTAGGGTGTGTAGCTGAAGTGATACCGCACAAAGACCAGGGCGACCGAGATGGCCGAAGTCTGTCAGTCTTACTCCAACCCTACGTTTGGAGACATCTGAAGTTCAGACCCGGAAGTCCTCTGATTCTGTAACTCACTTGTAGGACTAACTGCTTCTCAGTTCTAGTACAATATGTAGAAGCAAGATTGATAACATGACATGATTTTACTAGGTGCAGTCATACCGCCACGAATGGTGTTGGCAGTCTAATTGCAAGGAAAATTATAAGGAACGGTTCAAATCCCACTGCAACCGCCGAGTTTTTCACAAATGGGTCAAACGAATTATTGAAATCCCCCAAACCCTTCTTAATAGTTAAGTGTGCCTGGTAGCCATCTGGTGGATTCCAGATTGACTGCACAGGAAATCCTGCTTGGGCAGTCAGCTTACTGTAACAGAACTGGTGGATTCCATACGTTGTAGTAGGAAGCAGGTAGGTAAGTACAAGTAAAGTGGCTCAGTGGATAGGACGGTCGTCTCTAGCTCACTGGCCCCGGGTTCAAAACTCGAGTGTGGCAGCAGTTTCTGCGGCTATACTGGAGTC